CGGCGGCGGCAGTAGCAACAGCAAGTTTTCCCTTATAGTATCTGTTAGTAGTTCTGGTTACAAAGACGTACGCGTATCTGTATTGTTTGAATCTGGAACTTATATCGCGGCGCGGCCGAATCAGTATCGCATAATAATGTCGCAATAACAGTATTTAGTAGCCCAATACAATCCTCCTCTCTCGACTATTCAGACTGGGAACGTCAAAACGACTGATCCTCTGCCGACGCATCTTGTCGGCACAGCTACATGACACTATATAGAGATGTGTGCACTACGGCTGCTTGAAATCGCCAAAATCAATACGAAACGATGACTTTGATATTTAAATTGAGAGAAAGAAAATAAGTTATGATTGACTCTTACCGGCGTGTCACTTCAAATAGAAATCGAGTCTCGTATACAGTGAGACGCTTGCCGTTCGTATGGTACGTTGCTGCCGTTCGCTGTTATGGTAACTTGTTGTTACGTTCGGCGTGTTTTTTCGAACAGATCCCCGGCGACACTACGGCCACGAGCAGCGCGAAGATCGCGGACACAGACGATCACCAATGAATTGGCTAGGGTGGTAATGGCAGTACCAGCCACAGCGGTCACTACGATGGCGAAAGCGAAAAGCGCGGCACTAATTCGCGGTAGGACGGGTGATGGGACCGGCCCTTGCGACTGAGATTATATCGATATGTTTTTTTGCTGTTGTCCAGTACGGCCGAATTCGATCGCGCTGTTGCTATTCTCAGCACTGGGGCAACAGCAAAAAGTTGGGGGTTCGTTTGGTGCGACCTCGTCCGCTACAGAACAGCTACCATAACCCACTTCCTGACCTCCTAATTTTCCCCTTTTCTTTGCGACGGCGATCTTACCGCATGCCGGAGTGAAGTGCTAGCTTTCCGTACGCGTGCAGCAATGTGTCACGCAGGTCACTTGGTCCCACCACAGATCATGAGGCCATACGACAGGGTACTAATCAACAGTGCTGAATGAACGCACCTTCTAAAACCAGCCAGTTATCTAATCGTGATCTGGTCCCTACACGCAGCTGGTTCGCATGACTCTCACGCAGCTGCCAGCTACTAATGAAACGGCAGTATTTGGACACTCGCACAGCAAAACTATGGGTTAATCTGTTTTCGACAAAAGGGAGCTTATTTACTGGGCTTACTCAGTTACTGGAAATCCGGCGGAAGGAAATCTCTGAATGGAAGCCGGATTGCTTCACTGAAAAGGCAGATAGTTATGGATATACATATAAAGCAGATCAGTGTTCAGGGGCCACGAAACTGAAGGAGGAACGGGCTAATGCCGTAACAGCGCTATCGTAAAGAAACAACGTACTATAATACATAGAAGCCTTTACAGGCGACGCATCGTATACTGTGGTAGCAAGATTTTAGAAGACACAACCAAGTGACATAGAACGGCTCTTGTCTGCAGCAGATCAGGTAGATTTTTCTCCGGTCTGCTCGCAGTGATCCTTAAGCCAGCAGAGTGCCGCCGCTATTGGATGTCTACCTAGAATGAATTTTGTAAAAAATCAACCCTAAAAAATAGATCGACTTGAACTTTTCTTTCTGGCTGTAGTGCACCACTCACTATTTACTTGACAGAAGCTAACGATAACATGGAGTAGCTTTCAACTGGACTCTGCTGAAAAGGATATTACTTCTTCTTTGTAGCGGTGTGAAAGGAGACGTTTTTTTGCTATTATTTCACATTCTAAATACAGCTCTGGCTGTATTTAGAAATGCATGACTTCAGGAGTAGAGCTGCGAACTCTTAGCAGCTGCGTTCAAAAGAGCTGGTTGCTATCTGTTAGTAGTAGATATTTTTTATTTATTTATTGGCTAACAAACTAGATGCTTTCCAACTATCTACTAATGGCACCGTTAGGTGTGCCTGTCTAGTACCACAGTACTGTACCTGTTGCTTTCCAACGAAGGGCTAAGGCTCTCAAAGCCGCGGCCTATCAAATCCGTTTTAAAAGGACATTAGGTTTTGCACACGAACACTCTTCGTAACTGTATTAGGGCGCACAAAAAAAATCATTTTAGTGTAGAAATGTACATTTTTTTTTTTACATACATACATAGTCTCTTATATAAACGATTATATAGATTTATTCACGGACTAGCTCTCAGTTAACTTCTAGCAAGCTGGCTAGCTATTTGTTGGGGAAACGTTTTCCTATAGCATCATTTTATTGATCTATATTTCCAGAATACCGTAACTAGCGGTTCAGCTGTCATGCGAGAAACCTGCAAATGTTCAGTGCGGCAGAGCGTTCGATTCTAGCTTTTTGCGCGCTATATGCTGACAATACCATACAACGTAAGCTAATGATCCCTTATATGAGCCCATAAGAATTAATGGTGTCACCCTAAATGAACGGAATGCGTCACTAACATCTGTATTCAAACCACTCATATAATATTCGCATACATATGGTTTCCTACGGGATACTGGACCTTCAAGTTCGGGTTAACAGCTTTTCAATTACATCCCGTACGACGTTAACTGGGTTGTAGAAGTTCTAGTCAGAGACCTATTGATTGCTACGATGATGAACAGTGGAAAGCTGGCTTATCGCGTCGACTAAATCTAATACTTTGACGCCTGTGTTATTGATAACCTACACTGCGGCACCGACCTGGCTATTTCGCAAACAATAATAACAGTCGACTGTTATCAACTATGGAACGGTGTAAACAATCAGCGTTTCTTTTAATATTATCACTCAATTCAAAAGACTATCCCATATATAACAGCACGTTCTATTTTGGGCTTTTTTTTTCCTTGTGTTTTTGGGCCATGACCGAATGGGGTGTATGACGTCGCCGGCCTAGAAAAGCGATACATTTCAAACTATCAGCTACTTACTATTTTCATTGTTGTCATCATCATTACGTAAATAGCCCTTAGTGAAACTGATTTTTTTAGATAGCAAGCGTTTAACACTGAAAATATAACGGTAGGTAACTCAAAACGGCTACACTTGATGGCAGGCACATGTTATCACTGCTACCTCAATTCGTTAACGACATTCGACGAATGAGGTCGCATCGGCATCAGCTCGAGCTAACAACTAAGGTAATAGTTATTACCATCCAAAGATACAATGGACAGGCGAAATCTTAGACTTTATAAATACTATCATTTACATCGACCATGTACGATTCATTCAACATCTCCAGCAGTCATGTCAGAATACGCGAGATGTTCCTGTCGCTCACACGCGTGCGTACGGCGTCTCCCGCGATCTCTGGCGATCAACTAATCGGTTAAGAACACTCCCATTAGCTACTGTCCGTAACGGCGGTCAAAGCAGTCCATGTCTCCTTGGTAAGGAATGGATAAACTTTACATTTGGAATCCTTTTGTCAGTGTTGCTTTCACTATTAACTTTTCGTACTATTCTGTGCAGAATCTGGACGGTTCTAGAATCGTCATGGCGCATGAATCGAAAGTCGATCACAAGCATTCATAATAATGATTTCAGTAATTATGGCGATGGTGCCGGCGGCGGCGGCGGCGGCGGCGGCGGCGGCGGCGGCGGCGGCGGCGGCGGCGGCGGCTGCCGTCATAGCTGGCGAGACCACGTACGTACAATCTTGAATGATGTCACCAAGCGTTCAGTACCTTCACCCACTCGAGTATCTACGATGATTCAATCTTCTTAGCAAAACTTTCTACACTTGTCTTGAGCACTGCGTGTGGAAAACGTCTGAGGTCATTCCAAGCCGGGTAAACAGGGCCCAGTAAATATATATAACTATGATCTCAATCGTCCCAGGTGTGAGGAGCCGGAAATAGCTTCCGGAAACTTCAGTTAGTAATAATTGCTTTTCAATATAATACCGAGCTCGATAATTTTTATGCTACACTTAGTTATCGTTATTGTGCCTACCGTTCTTGCTCGGGCTTAATATAGCAGTGACCTTCTCTTCTCGTAACCGTTCGATAATGTCTGCTTAAGTACGCATTATGACCATTACCACATTACTAGACAATTCATCCAGCCTATGATTTATTGCAGATGGACATCATCACTAGCGGCAGTCCCTTTCCATGATCAAAAGGCATGACTGCTTTCCCGTTTACTTACCTAGCTCCCCTCTCGTTGTATTGTTAAAGATATCGCCCTCGTGTAGCCCCATTACAATACAAAACAATCGCTAGTGTAGTTAAACACCAACGTTTCGGGCGATCTTTACCAGCAGAAGGTCCATATCTATGCTACAGGTACGATTGTGTTATCATTGCAATCATTTGTCGCCGTGTTGCCATTGTCAACAGTACAACATGCGCAATAGTTTGCGGACGGGTATACAAAGAAAACGAGTTGTGTCACCCAAAAAAGCGTGGGTTATAGGTTGGCCACGGGCGTACAAGCATCTGACTATTTGATCCAATTTTGCACCATTTCTACAATGATGTTGGCTTAGTGACAGTGGCGCCTATAGCAACGTAATCGTCATTCGGGAGGCAAAGGTCCTCGGAAAGGCCCTACAGAATCATAGCTATAACAGTAGCAGTGAAGTAATCGTAATGATAACCAATAGCTTGTTGTGCCATTTCAGAGAGCCTATCGAGAGAAATATTCTTTTTGTGAAGGCTAGTAGTGGTGACCTTGTTGAAGGTAATCGCGATTTAAATGGCGACAGATGAAAGTCTTAATGTTCGCTAGCGACTTTAAGCCGAGACCGAACGACAAGATCCGTATACCATCATCCGAACCGATGATAAGCACATTCATGTGAGTGGAGCATGTGTAACTGCCCCATCTGCTTTGTCGCTGGCAGACAAAAGTCAAATAAATTTCTGACTTGACCCTTTAAGCGAGCAGCTCCTGACTGAACAGTTATTGATCGAGGGAATAGGCATCTGAAGGACTGCAGCTGAGGTTTTTAGGAACTGATAAACAGTGGTTCATTCAGCTGTTATAGATTGTAAAGCAAAGAGGAAACGTTAAAAGCCAATGTTTTACATTCGGTGTCACGTACCTTTAAACTCTTTGCCAAATCGAATTAGGTCATCGGCGCTCGTCTCGACAAAGCGAAGTTTTTGCTGCATCAGATGGGGAACCTGCCTGAGCAATCGCTGTTGAAGGTCCCGTGAGCAACAGGACGCCTGGCCGCCGCATAAGTCACCGTCTTCTGTAATACAATTATAAAAAATACAAACTCGAACTGTTAGACAACTTAACCTCAGGCATAATTTAAATATTCTTTGCCTTAACCAACACGTTACGATGTTGCCTCTTAGACAGAGCACGCAACGTTTCATTCACGCTTCTCTGGTTTACAACATTATTAATCTCGTGAGAACGCCAGTGGTTTCGGAAGCGCTGATCGAGTCCGATCATCTAGCCGATAATTAGATACGCTTCCATCATACTTCCTGGTTCTGGGCAACACTGTTACTATTAATTTTATTGTCTGGGTTGTAGCATAGATGGCGCAGCAGTGATAGTAATAATATTAGTCACTGACAGTCTGCCCCAACAGAAGCTCTCAACAGCGGACGACAATGATTCGTTGGCTATTTTCGGTATATTTAGTTCTAATGTCTGAAAACGTAGATGCTAACGAATGTTTGTCCGTTTTGAGTTTACCTCTCTCGCTGTACGTAAATTGAAGCTTTGTATAAGTTCGCAAGTGTAAGGCCATGAGGAGGAAGTCGCTGCCGGACGAAACTGCGGTCAGTTTTGCCGGTTTTAGACCACTCACATGATACGCAAAGCACGTCGGAATCGAGCACGACGAGGTCACCTCTTATAAAGGTATGGACAGCGTTTCCGATTCGGCCTAGGTTCCATGGCGTAGGTTCTACATACAGGCATAGGTTGCCATCATTTTCCCTGGATCGTTACTCCATTGACAGGGATGAGTGTCGCGGTTTATCATGTGTTGGAATTAGCGAATAGCTGACGCACGAGCTTAGGTAATTAATGGCTCAGTGTTGGGGGCAGCCTTACCAAGAGGATTACAGTGGCCTGAAGGGAGACAAGTGGGGCAAGTTTTTTAATGACGAATTAGTCGCTAAAATGAATGTTGAAACGTTCCAAATTACAAAAGATGCTTTTCATAGATATCTAACAAATTGTGCTTGAGAGTGTTTACTCGATGACTATAGATTGGAATGGAAATAGGCATTGTTAGTTTCATTGTTTAAACAGTAATCGCTCCTCGAATCGATTCTCGGCTCGCTCAAGCAAATCGACCTCCTCGGCTCGATTTGTTGGAGCCGAGGAGCTCGCTGACACTGAAGTGGAAACCCAGTAGGTCCTTTGATACTGCCACAGGTTTTTATAGTAGAGGACGTACGTATACTTTTATTCGCGCTTTCTTTGTTTTCTATTACGCCCGCTAGAGTAACAGATCGAACGAACGCGCGGATCTGCTTAGCAGTTCTGATCCGCTACTACGCAGAGAAATTAGCGCGTCAGTTCCTCCCCAGAGATGGTCATGCGGTCCCAACGTTACCCTTTTTAGACCAACACAGAAGACTTGCGCAAGAGAAAACATTCAAAATGGGATCCGCACATAAAACATAATTTTATGATATTTATCGGCGTTGTCGGTCGATCGGTGTTCTGTGTTTAGTTCTACCGTTTTCGACCTTTTGCGTCAAGCTAGATAAGTCAACATCTTATGTGTAGTAGAAAATAAAATCATCATCGATTATGCGCGGTATTCATGTGTGCGGTTACCGGTTCTATAGGTTTTTTTAGCGCTGAACTGCGCGTCGCCCCTTTAACGTTCGCCGACCCCACTAGAAGCAAGGAGGCTGAAAGAAAGGCTAAAGAGCCTTTACAAGGGGACGATCATATCGAACACATTTCAACGGAAGAACAGCTCAAATCAAGCTTGGCTTAATCGTGAATAACGGTGATCGGCGATTCGCTGCTATGGATACAAATAATAATAAAGCCCAGAAAGGTAAGGTTTATATATAAACACTAAGTGTCACTTACTTTGTGTTATCTTTTGCGGCATGTACTTCTTCTCATTTTATTCTGATTATTTTTATATTTTTACAGAACATTGATGCTAAATGACCCTTTCATCTTCTGCTTCGGCCGGTGTTCCACTTATTTATGCGGCACTCTCAATGTTATCATTCTAAAAGATTATATGTCCTATGGTATGACCGACAACACAGTACGTTGAAACGATAGGCACACGCATCATTTCGGTGAATTTTTAGATATAGTACAGAACATGCTAGTAGGTACCCGCCTGATTTGTGGCTATAATCTTACTTAGCGACTGAGCCCGTTTAACATCAAACGTGGCGAAAGCGGGTTGTGGAATTGCCGAAGTAGGATCATCAACTCGTGAAGTGGATGGCCTGCCGCAAACTGAGACCACCCTGATGAAAACATTCTGTACTTCTGCATGTAATTATGAATCAGGCCACAAACTTTAGTCGAGGTGTAAGGCACATATTTATACCATGGCTTTCTTTTTTTTTGTATATATAATAATGATAAGAAACAATAACAGATTCGAAAGGGGCAAAAAAATTGCTGCTTATGTGTCTACGTAACTCTGCGAACTTCCCGAAAAAGCGCAGGCTTATTTACTCCTGTTTATTTACGCTATATTATTATATATCTGATGCATGTGCAACATATTAAGTTTCGAAAACTTGTAACTTTACATCGTTAATAGACTGACCGTCAGATGTCAAAATTTAAAAATGTATAAAGATCACGAAAATAATCGTGCTTGAACGATAACTGCCACAGGCTTGCTCATCCAGATAACTTAATCCACCTCGAATATTCGAATTAAGTTCCAGTAACGTAAGGTAACGCAGTAGCTGAGAACGTTCTTCGGGTCTGCTGTCGGATTAGCTACAGAAAATTGCTTGGGCTTGTGAATTCTCATGGCCGAACTCCCATTATTAATGCGTCTGAAAAGTTCACAAATTTTAGCGATAGGGACCTATACATTGTCTCTAGAGTCTTTGACTTGACGACTATCCATTTTCTGCTAGTTTATAATGAGCCAAAGAAACTGTTCTCTCATAGACAGCTTGGTGACGCCCAAACCGGCTAATTGCGTCTAAGGTTAGGTAGAAACATTTGTATGGATGACAAATTTCGATGGTCCTTCGCTCGATTCTGGTGGTGCGTCCGGGCAATCGAACAACACTACGATAGCTGGAAATTATTTAAGCGGGTTCAATAAGGAGCTTTCGGTTGATCTTTACTAAATACCTTATATATATGTTCAACCATTAACGTTTCTATTCACTGAGTCATTTCTTTATATACTACTAGGTGCTTGTGATGATCGATAGTTGCTTGTTCCCGTTCGTTCGAGCAGCTGTTGTCGTTCGTCCAAGTTCAGCTCGAGCTTGATCTTAACAAGTGCAATACGGTATATATCTTTCAGTGGTCAGGATCCACAACGATTCTCTATATGAATGCTGAGAGACCTCTTTATACTCTACTATTGTAAATGTATTGTACAATCGAGGATCTGTCCCCGCATCGTACCAATGTCTTGCGGTCGTCCCCCAGTTATCTGTCTGTATGACCGACTAGCTAAGTGACGTCGCCATTACGTGATGTCCCAGATAATTACGGTTATGTTCTTCCGGAGCGATACAAGACTCTTTGTATTCTACGAATATTCGATGTAGGCGGTCTATCGTCCGGCCCATAACTAAACAACATATGCTTTAATAGAACCATTATGACGACTACAAATATATGAATACGTGGTTGTCAGTTGCGGTATCTGTCTGCGGTTAAATCGAATTTGAAGCTGTCGGCGATAGCGATGCTGACGACAGCGGTCGTGGCAATGGACCAGTGCGTTGGCAATTGAGAAGGTGCCTCGCTAAACGGATCGACAATAGACGCTCTAACGGCTAGGCCTGTCTAAGTCGCTGGGCAGTAATCGAAGACCACTGCTGATAAATTCGACGGCAGCATGCATGTATTTTTGCATTTTAGTCTAGGTGAAGTTGGGGAAGCGCAATCTTCCAACGCAACAGTTCGCACTATATACCTCAAGGTACTGTCCATAGCTAACCCCGGTAGAAAGCTGTCCTGTTTGATATGTAAATGGAACCCTTTTCCAAGGTAGACAACTCTCTTCCGAGCGGATGGGCGCCACCGATGCTATGCGCTACGGCCGTCGTCCCGCTGGCCTCAGCAAAACGAAGGCAACTACCAGTTATTGAGGTAGAACTATACGACTATCGCAATGGATGGCAGTGTTCGTTACAAATTTTTTCAAACGTGAAGGGGCGGGCACACGTCCGCTGAATAGCGTAATTGCGCGGTGCTATTGTTTCACGCGCGTGTCTGTGAGTGATCGGTGTCTAAAGCGAAAACAAGGGCAAAAGCTGATTGAAGATGCAGTATCCTCCATGAACGCCCGTACGGCTGGACGTATAGACGTTGTCAATAGAACCTACTGTTACAACTACAAAACAGAAAGTGAAGCAGATAAACGCTCAACGCATAGACTAATGGTTACTTTTGGCACTCTGCCACACTGCAGTCCGAAACGGCTCGGGCAACTGCGGGTTAACCGGATGGAGTCCCGCAGTGGAACGCGAAAATGCCCACGCCCCAGTTGGGTTATCAGCTTCTGGCCACGGTTACCTCTGGCGTACGATGGTACGCCAGAGGTAACCGTGGTAACCCCTATATCAGGAACCGTGGTAACGCCTATATCAAGAGCCAGTCAGCTCCGGCAGAGAATACCTGCACTCGTCTGTTAAGGCTTCTTCTGCTGTAAATCCTGTAGTTTTCGTTGCAAAGGCCTAGGGCATCGTGGTACGGTTAAAATCGAAACATTAACCGGATTCGACAGCGCCCGATCCTAATTGTTACGTATGATACGGCTGCTGCACCTGCGGTGTAACGTTTTGAGGCGATGATCGCGCATCTGGGACAAGAGTAATAAGAAATGGATGGGGTAAGCAAGAGTTACCAGTTTCCCTATAACTTTAGCTTTTTCTTAATAGACATCCTTGTGGAGAAATGATTGCATAACCCCTAGTATAGTGCGCACAAAACATCAGTATTATAAACATTAGATTAGAAACAGCCATGCAGGTACCCAGGGATAGATAGAATCAAGCTTCTTGTCGCCGTCGTTGTTATTGTTTACCGTAACTTATTGCCAAA